AGGCAGTGTATTATGATACATTTAGATCCCAAAGTATGGCAGTTGATAACTGACACTCTTCTCTGCATTTCAGTCAGAAGCTAACCTTTACTGAGTTCGTGAACTGTTTGCTGAGAGGCTTGAGCATCTAGCTTAGCTGTCAATATATAGAGCTAATTTTTTTAATGCGTGAATGGTGTCTTCCTCTTAGAAGTTTGTTTTTGTCATCAGGCATCTTAGGTTTTTCAAAAGCTGCAAATGAATTTGGTAGAGGTTTCCTAACACTTGAAAATTCTTATGATTAGTCATCCTTTTGATGTACATTTTTTGGATTAACAGAAATATTAGATCACGCATGATTCCTTTTTTTTGCGTAATCTTAAAGATATGCTTCAGCTGCTACGAGAAAATTCTATCAACCTTATCTTTTCTCCTGTTCTTTTCATTTGTTTTATGTTTTACTTCATTTCCAACTCCTTGCAAATGGTGATAATCGTGATTTCCATTTATCTTCCTGTCTTTCTTTGGTGGGACCTCATTCTTTTCACCCTTCTTTTTTCATTTGTTTTATGTTCTACCCCCTTTTCCCTATTCGCTTACTCAGTGGCGAAGCTAGGAAATTCAATAAGGATGTTCAAATTTTGAACACCCTTTGACGGTGTGCTATGCAAGGGTGTTCAAAGTCTATTTTTAATCAATAACAAGTAATATATACCTTATACGTAGTATAATTTTTTGGGCGACCTTGGGCCAACATAGCTTCGCCCCTGCGCTTACTCTAGCAGATGGGATTGTTAAGATTTCTGTGTTATCTGTGTCTGTTCTTTTGCAGGACCTCTCCAAGCTGAACAGGGATCCATCAAGAATTATATATGTTAGTGGTAACGCATTAGAAAGTAGCCTTCAGCCAGAGAATTGCGTAGAAATAAAACCATGGAAAGGAGATGTAGAAGATACCACACTTTTAGATCTTATTCCATTTCTTGAATGTAAGCATGTCGATAACAGATGACATATAGAATGAGGTGGTCACGATGTCACCATGCAAATCTCACTGTTAATGACTTCATACCTTGTGCATGCAGATGTTGGAAAGCATAGGCCAGCTGATATTCGAACTGTATTAGCTTCATACCAAGGACGTGATATTGCAAAGGAGTTTATTGAACGATCCAAGGAGCACAACAGGTCAAGTTTCTTGTTGATTCATTTATGAGATATCGTTGTGCACTTGATTAATATTAAATTCTTGAAGACTTGGAGCTTAAGATGATTCTGGTTTATTTATTTATTTATTTTCTTGTTTATTTATTCATTTTAGTTTGGTAGCACTCTCCCCCTCCCCCGGGGCTGGTTTATTTGCCAGGGCTGGTCTTATAAAGTGCATTGCTAGTTTTATATTTTAGTTGCTCCACCTGGTTCTCACAGGGAAAGAAAATTGCTTGTTGGAAAATTTGTGACCAGTGGATCGGATTAGTTCCACAATTGACATAATTTCCTTTTGTTTCATGTACATCCTAAAGATGGTATTATTAGTTGGTCGATCTTATAGCACGAGAAAATTTCTTATGTTACCTTCTGAATGGTGCTAGCCTATTTATTATTACCAATATTATATTACTTCTAATTTTGAAGTTTTTGTTTAAAAGATCTAATTGAGTAAAGATAGTTAACATCTTTTTCTTTGACTATATTTTGGGTCGTTACGTCTAAAAAAATCACTATGCTTATTTAGCGGATAAAGAAATATCAATCAATTATTTATTTGTCTTATCATGAATTATCAACCAGCTCTGGTGAAAGTATTATATTATTAAAGAATTTAAAATTTAATATCGGAGTTATAAATGAACAAGGATAATATTGGAATTTTGAGGCAGTGGTTAGGAAACTTTAACGTACATGTCACTCTTGCTCTACGTTGAAATAGAAGGGAGGCTTCTGTTATTTTAGTTTATCGGAGTGCTCCATTTAATTTTCACAATCTAGAAATGCTGTAGAGTTCCAAAATGTATAAAACTGTAATAAGTTGTTCTTTTTCTTTTTTTATTTTTTATTTTGAAGATGCATAGAAATTTCCCCGTGCTTGATCTATCTAGAAATGTTTCATTTATTCATTCTCTTTGGCTCCGTATGGTGATTGGTCTCAAGATATGTTTTGTTGTTTGATTGGGGACACTTTCTGTTTCACTCCCACAGATCAACCTTTAAGACAATTTCACACATGGTTGTCTCTTAACATCTCTTCTTTTAACCTGGAAAATATGTAGTTATGTGCCTTTTGATTGTTCGGATTCTGATGATTTTCTTTTCTTATTCGCCAATTCCAAGCCATTAGTTTGAATGTACTTTCTTTTTATCATTGTTACTGGTTAAGTCAAATTATGTGATAATTTATCGCATGATAGTGTTAGTTAACACAATGACCTGTTGATGCAGGCGTATGCAAGAGCAGAAGCAGCATGGTCGTATTTGGCGTCGCTAGTGCTGAGTGTTATTTTTGGAAGTTTGAATTGGAAGATGAAAGCAATTGACACAATACAATAAACTTTAATCCATTTTTTGTGTAACTAAAGAATTCACGTTAATTATGTTACTCCAACTACGTGCCTGTAATATTTTGCCCAAGCAATGGCATTTTTTTCTCATTTAGTTCCACTGTAATAATGGAGAATGTCTAAATTTGTCCAGCGGCAGCTTTATTCAACATATGTTTCTTCTCTGAATTGATACTGCATGAGTTTGTCGTATTTTGTCCTTCTGTTTAGCTGCTGAACTGATTCTAGATTGATGTTGAGGCGAAGTTAAAAAAAAGAAAATGAAATAGGATTCTGCTTACCTTTCCGGTATTTCATGTGCTTTTGTGCGAAGTCAAATTGGCTAAGCCAGATGAAAACTGAAGCTCTTTACAACAAAGTAATGGGCAAGTAACTATGCCAAATCCAGTCATAATTTCAAGTGTAATTTTGCATGTTCACAGCAGAATAGCCTTAACTGGGGTAGATTAGTTCACATCTCAGAATAAGGGAGGATTATATGATGCTAATTGTTACCGTCACAAATCCCTTATTATGGTAAATTTTGAGTTATGACAGATGATCATTAATAAATTGATCAATTTAGATCTTTAATATTTTGCTTCTCTGTTTCCTCCTATTAGATTGGTNTAATAACAGAAAGTAAGACATAGCTCAGCAACCACTAGTTGTTCACCCATTAATCTTGGGGTTATGTAAATTTGTCAAATCTAGTTGTGGAAGGCTGACGCTTGATTCAGTTGGTCCATTTATAATGAAAACTTAAGCATACAAATTGGGAGACATATCTCCGTGCTCTGACTACACTGTACAAAAAGGAGTGCGTATTATTGTTGTTTCTTTCATGGTGACTATATGTCATTCTTTTGTAGTATCATTCTATGTAGCGTGGGTATCGGTTAGATTTGGTTCGGTTGTGAATATTATTGGTTTAGCATATCAGTTATCGGTTTATAGATATGCTAAATCGATAATCGAACCGATAAGATATTGGTTATCGGGTATCGTTAATCGATTATCAATCCTTATCGGTTCAATTATCGGTTTACCCGATAAGAATAAAAAATATCCAAATTTTTATATTTTTATTATAGAAATCATGATCATACCGTTAAGAAAAGGTACTAATTTTTTTGTTCTTAACAAAAAAGGGATTAAATTTCGACTTTAGAAATGAAAACTTTCTTTGCATGTGAAAATCCCAACGAATGATCTCAATTTTTAAAGATATAAGTTAGTAGCAGTAAGTAATCAAACATTCAACAATTTAATCTTGCTAACTATTCAGTACATGTGGGCATAATTCACAGAAAAATAATAAAATCCTAATCTTATAAATGCTAAAGAATCATTGCAACAGAAGAAACAAATAGAAAAATAAAAAATCTGAACAATTAATTTTTTAAAGTTTAAAACTAAAAATCTTAATCGAAGAATAAAGACGAGAAATTCAGAAAAGTTTAAAACTTACCTTAAGGATTAAGGTTTGAAGATGAGAGTAACTGTTAATATGAGAGAATGAATACATAAGGTGGCTTTATATACTGAATGAGTAAAATTATACTTTTGATAAAGCTTATTGGATTATCGGTTAAATCGTTAATAAAATTAGACAAATCGAGATCCGAATCGATAATCCAATAGTCAAATAATATTAAACCATTACTAAACTATTTATCCAATAATCCGATATTAATAACTCAATAATATTTTATCGGTTCGGACTATCGGTTATACACGATATATACGTGCCCTAATTCTACGAAATTGCAGCATGTGATTGGGTAAGGTGTGGAATATGAGAAAAATCAAAGTCTTGGTCGTCGCTGCAGTTGCCCGGCTCTAATGATGGTTAAGTCTTTGGCCTCATCTTAATTCTTATGAGGTTCACACTTGACGCAGCAGCAAGCTTTGCCTGGTTAGTACCAAACCTCACATGAATTTGTAAATTCCAATTTTGAAAAGGACAACTTTTTAACCTATTTTTTTTTCGTGACAGAAAACACGTCATTTTTCTTTCAAATATACTTTCCTTAATCATTCTTCAAAAGTTTGTATCCAAATGAGCTGTAAAAGTTAAAAATTAAGCTCCCGTTAGATTTTGGCAATTTTTTCTGAAAATATTGATTGTTCATAAAATATGATTAATTTTTGATAAATTATTTACAAAAGATAATTTTTTGATGAAATAACTTTAATTTTTTTTTTTAAATTTCTACCAAATTTATATTTAAACGCCAGCTAAATTACACGCATATGTGACGAGTCATTAAAAACGTCAACCAATAGTAATTATGGTAAGTTGTAGTTTCGGAAATGAGTAGTACCGTATATCTAGATTCACCAAAACGTCAACCAATCGAATTTATGGTAAGTAGTAGTACCGTACTTTCACATCAGATGTTCCATTTTTATCTCAAACTTACAAATTTCTCCATTGCAGTACGCTGATTTTCTCTCTCTCATGTCTTTATCTCTTTGTCGTGCAGTACTACACCAAATTTGGTAACTACTACAGTATATAAAAAACACACACATCTCCAATCTTCCCTCAATGATTTTCACTAAACTCCAATGGCACGTTATCAACCCTTTCTTTTCGTTACTCTCTTTCTTTTTCTCATCATCTCCGCCGCTGCCCACGGCGGAGCTCACGACGGAGATGCTGATGCAGATTCCGACTCATCTGCACCCTCCGATAAACCCCATCTGAGATCTCGACCGTTGGTTTTTGTAAAAATATGGTGTTTGATTATAGTGTTCGTAGGGACTTTTCTTGGAGGAATATCACCTTATTTTATGAAATGGAATGAAGGGTTTTTGGTTCTTGGAACACAATTTGCTGGTGGGGTGTTTTTAGGGACAGCACTTATGCATTTCTTGAGTGATTCAAATGAGACATTTGGAGATTTGACGAATAAAGAATACCCTTTTGCTTTTATGTTGGCATGTGCTGGTTATTTGCTTACTATGTTGGCTGATTGTGTTATCTGTTTTGTTTATGCCAAGCAGAATAACAGCAACGATGTTCAGCTCCAAGGTTCGTGCACCTTTTATTATTTTTAACTAACTTTTTACAGTGGTGTTTTAGCCCTTTTGATTCGACAAAATTTGACTATATACTTTTTGTGCAGCTTTTCTTATATCTAAATTTTAGTTTCGGAAAACAAGAGTTAGTTGATCTAATTTAGCTTCGACAATTGGTTAAATTAGCACTTAATAAGCAAAATTCGTCAAACAAACTGCGATGCTGAAAGTACTAGTGACATTTTAATTTTTTTCCCCAGAAGAAATGAGAAATTTAAAAAGCGAAAAAACAATAGTTATTCTCTTGTTTGACATAATTTGAAGCAAAGCTAGTTAATTGGAGCTTTGCTTAAAATCAAATACGTTTTGTTTCAAAAGTATCCTGCACCTAACTTTGAGGTTGAATATAGGAGTTTTGCTTGCTTCCAAGTTACTTATAATCTGGCGTAGCAGGAGAGCTTCATAGTTCATGATATGACGGCAAGACTTGTAGATTAATTGTTTTCATCGTTTCATCATTAGGGGCGACAAACGGGCGGGTTGGGTCGGATATGGGTATCGAAAATAGATAGTACAAAAACGGATAAATTACCCGACCGGACCCATATTTAATACGGATAAAAAATGGGTTAACCGGTGAATATATATGGCTTTTTGAATATCATCACTTTTGAGAGAATTTTTAGTTTCCTAATTTGAGGCTTTACAAATGTAAAAGTTAAACTCATTAGTTCTTATCCATATTTGACCCATTTTTAAAAAGTTTATTATCCAACTCATTTTTTAATGGATAATATTGGTGGATAATTATTTTCTTTTATCCATTTTGTCACCCCTAATCATCATGGTCAATTTCGCTTTGAACAGATTCGGGTTGTTTTTCAGAATAAAAATACTCCACGCCTGTTATAAGAATTAGAAGACTAATGCAGAGTCTTGACCCCTGTTTAGTTATAATTGCTGCATCCGAATTTCCTATTCTTAAGGTTTTTCAATAGGAATTCTTGAATGATAAATCATGGCTTAAGCCTCCGTTACCGCTTGTTACTAGAAAAGTAGGAATCTCACAAACCATTGTGCACATAATCCCTTTTGCAATAGGATTTAACTTTTATCATCTAGAAGTATATTCACACTTATTTTTCCATTTACAAATTTCACTTATTGAGTAGTTACATGTAATTTACCTTTTAAAAGATTTGATAGTGTAAAAAGCTTTTACACGGTTAGTATACATTAGTTAAACTCTATGCAATAAAGCAATCTCTGCTGATGCTTCAAATCCCATGTTTTGTTCCAGGTGATACTGAAAATGGAAAAGGCAATGGGATTGTCACACAAGGACAGTCACAGGTTAGAGAATTTATTTATTTATTTTCCTCTAATAGCCTTTTTGTGTGCTCATATTCCTTCTATTCTGCAAAGCTATTTGTAAAGTTCAGTACTTTGGACACTATTCTGTTCTTGTTAGAGTGGCTAAGTTAATATGTGTCAATTGCTATATATCATAGGTCTGTGATGGCAGAGAAGATTACTTTTCAAAAGCACCTCTTGCAACTGCATCTTCGCTTGGCGATAGCATCCTATTGATCGTGGCGCTGTGTTTCCATTCTGTCTTTGAGGGAATTGCCATTGGCGTCGCAGATTCAAAAGCCGATGCTTGGAGAGCTCTTTGGACTGTCTGTCTACACAAGATATTTGCTGCCATTGCAATGGGAATAGCTCTACTTAGGATGATCCCTAATCGTCCGCTGTTATCTTGTGCAGCATATGCTTTTGCCTTTGCCATCTCCAGTCCAATTGGTGTTGCCATTGGAATCATAATTGATGCCACAACTCAAGGGGTTGTTGCAGACTGGATCTTTGCAATATCAATGGGATTGGCTTGTGGGGTTTTTGTTTATGTATCCATTAATCATTTGCTTTCAAGGGGATACAAACCTCAGAAAATGGTCTTAGTTGACAAGCCTCATTTCAAGTTTTTGGCTGTCTTGTTAGGTGTTGGAGTGATTGCTGTGGTGATGATATGGGACACTTGATTTGTTTGGCAGCAGTAGCAGAATAGTTACCTCTTTATTTTGAAAATTTATCCCATTGTTGTTTCAAAAGGTAGGTAGGTGGTATACATGATATTGAGAGTGAAATGTACAGTACTAAAAGTTGTGATTTTTCTGGGTTCTGTCTTTATCCCCTGTTATTTAAATGGAATTGATTTCAAGAAACCAAATATATTTGTGGATTATTGCCAAGTTTCATACTGGGTAAATAATTTTGATTATCATAAAATTTTTCACTTTGGCCTATAAGATGAGTTCAAAATTTTGTAATGTTTTGACAAATAAACTTTTTATACTGTTAATTGGGTATAAATAGTAATGTGTGATGGTTTCGTTGGGTAAAAGTGGAGCATAAGAGTGGTATTTGGTGTAAGATAATATTAAGTAGCAAATATTAAAGATATAAATCTTTACATGTGTTGCCAATAACAAGTAACATGGAGTAGAAGAGGTAAATGTAAAGTGACTTGGCATCTATAAAAGAAAATTCAATTTGTTCCCGAATTGATATTTTTCACACTTTAGACAACATTTGCATGATTTCAAATAACGCCTTTTATAATGGATGAATTATCTACTTTACTCATGTATAAAAGTAAGTGACTAGCAGGAGTTTGGACAATATTTGATTAAATTGAGAATGAATACTTTGAAGTTATATTTGAACTTGATTTTCACTTTAAAAATTTGAATTGAAAGATTTGTCAATGAAAATTATTACTATTTCACTTCAAATACTCCTTAAACAAATTTTTTACTAGTATTTTCACCAACATTGCCTCAACACTCTTTAAATAGCTCTTAGTTCACTCGAAACACTTTTCAAATACTGGTTGGTCATATGTATTTGTGAACAGAAAAATTATTTATGGATAAAGGATCATTAGCAAATTCAGAAAAGAAAAAGAAAGCTATGTATAAAATTCCAACGGAGGCCCTCTTAACAGAAAGTCAAACTATGCTGGGCACAAGTGAACATATTGAATCCCCAAGGATCGAAGTATTAAAAGAAAATAAAGGAAAGGGTCGAAGTCACTCTAAAACCTATAATCAGAATCTGAAACTCCAAAAATGATCTTACGGCCCACGATCCAGTTACTTTGAACAAGACGGTAAACCAATTGCACAATAAAATCTCCCCCCAAGGGAAAAGATCATTAATGTGAAGGTTTTACTTTGTTTTCTCCCAGCTACCGGCCCTGCCTCTGCCCCTGCCTCCCTCTCCCATCAGCTGTATGCTATGTGAACTCCGCAACTCTCTCTTTTGCCATGTCTGCTATTTCCCAGGTACCAAAATCTTGTCTTTCTCACTCAATACATCTCTTCATTGGATATTCCTTGTACAGTCCCAAACTAAACCAGAATCTTTTCCTCTCTAACATTTGACCAGAATCACCTAGAGAACCTCCAAGGAATTTGGACCCAACTTTTTTTTCTAACTTTTCTCTCTTTTATTTCAAGAATTGATGCCTATTTCACTTGTTGGGTTGTTTTGTTCTTTCTTCAGCAAAACCCCCTTCAAGTCATATGGGGTTTTGTGACTCCAAACCCTTAAAGTTTTGATTTTTGTGTCTAATTCATCACAGATCTTTGTAGTGGGGTGTTGGTTCAGAGTTTTGTTACATACCCAGTTTTTATTTGAGTTCCCACAAGCTAATTTATGGTGGGGTTGAGGCATAGTAGTAGATTATCAAGATTGTGCCTTTTTCTGAACTGATCATCCTTTTGAGGTAGTAATTGAGGGGTTTTAAGGTTACTTTTTGACAATTTTGGGGGTTTAGTTTAGGCACGGAGCACAGTGCTTCAAGATTTTACGAATTAGGGTTTCTGTGAGCTTGTTATGGTGCTTTAGAGTTGCAAAGATCTGATTTTTTGGGTTGTATTCTAAAGATGGGTGACAATGATCACTGCTTTGTTGAATGGAAGGAGCAATTTGTTTCGAAAGAGAGGGGACACCGTGTGGTTCACTATTTCTTGAAGGATATTTCAGGGGAGTCCATTCTTGCTGTTGTGGGCACTGAAAGAAGTGTTAGGCACATGTTCTATGTCGTCTCTGATGAGTTCTTGAAAGCTTATGCTGGTGAGAATTCTGTCTGTGCTGGCTTCAGATGGAGGTCAAGGAGAGAAGTTGTTAATTGGCTCACCTCTATGCTATCAAAACAGCACTTACAAAGTGATTTTTTGAGTAAGTACTGTCAAATTCTATTTAGGTTAATGAAGGACATATACCAACTAGCTATGCATTATGTGGTGGATCTATCGTACAAGTTTGTCTAATTGATTTCTTACCATAAATAGTTTGCCTAAGAGGTAAGATCAATTTAGATTCAGGAAATTAGGATTGAGAAAATGTTTTCTTTAGCACAAGAAGAAGATGGGAAATATTTCATTGCTTCATTGGTTTTGACTTTTTCTACAACAATCTCATCACATAATTTCCAGAAAAATGTGACGAATGGAGTTCTTTGTGATATTTATTTTTATGCAGTAAAACATTCGGATATCTATGATTTTCTATAATGTTTTCCTTCTTTGCGATGTAGTCTGAATATTAATGGAGTATCCACTGCATATGCTTTTCATTTGATATTAATGACTTTTAAGTTACTGAATGTTTAAAGAAAAACACATTTGCATACAATGCTGTCCTGTGAATATGGATTGTAAAGGGAAAACAGAAGCTTAACATACGCTCCATGTAATGGCAGAATCACCAAAAGATGATCATATGTCTGCATTCAGTGTCCAACCAACAGATATGGCAAGCAACAAGGTGCACCTTTCTTGCAGCACTAACACGTCTTCTCGTTGCTGTTTGAGATTTCTGACTGATCTTTTATGACAGGGTTCTATAACAAGAAACTTGAGAGTACATTCTTCCGACATTGTTTGGTCAGGCGAACCATGGATATGCAGTAAACAGCTCAAACACTACCCAACATTTTGCCGGAATGGGATTACTATTGCAGTAAGTTTCCTGGACTGACAATAAGAGGAATCACTTTTAATGAGTTTTCCACTTGAAATGCTTCAGATGTTTCACCTGAAATTTCTTAGAAGCTGAGCGAACTTATTCAAGTGAAAGACTTGAAACGAATGATAAAATATAGTATTTCAAAGTATATATATGCTTTCCAAACAAAGTTAATTTTGTTGTTCATGGACCAAGTATAAGCTTGTTGAGAACATTGGCAGTTCCCAACTTGAAAGGGACAAAAACAAGCTTTAATGCTGTTATTCCAAAGAGGCAATAAAATTTATTTGTTCCCTCTAATTTTAATGCTGACAAATTGCGAACTCTGCGCAAAAGCATCGAAATGTATGGAGATGATGCAGGGCTAGCGCTTATACAAAGATTGTCATTTGGTCGAGACGGTCAAGCAATTTTGGTACTTTGACCACAACGGAAGGAAAAATTCGAGACGAGATACAATTTGACTTCCAAAATCATAACCAAAACTAGGGTAAGTTTGAAGAAAATAGCATACCTTATCTAGGAAATCAATCCTTTATTTATCTACAACTTGAGAATAAAAAAGAAATCCACACTTTACATGCTATACGCAAATGTTCCATAAAATTTCTCATAATTTAGAGATATTTTTATATTTTTATATTTTTGAGTTATTTTTAGCCGGATCCCTACACCCATATCCCCGAATCTTAGAATTTACATTTCCAAGGATCTGACCTCTAGATCCGCACCCGTGTCGGACACCCGCACCCGTGTCCGAGCAGTCCGAGCAACTTAGGTTCTGATACAAGTGGAAATATCAAATAGTAACTGATTTTGTGCTTCTACACTTCAAAATGTCCTCTTGACTGCCATAAGTCAAAGCTTTGCTTCGTCTGTTGTACCTTCCTATTCCTTCTCATGCATATCTGGTTTGAGCCTTGTACATAGATTGCAATCTAAGCTCCTGAAACAAGTAAAATATCAAATGAACCTTTTCAAGTGTATGCCATTTGGTAATGGTATGCCCTTTACCTTTGCATGCATATTTCTTAGTTTACAGCTGTTAGTCTGTTTCTTTTCCATGTTCCAGGTACACGCATTTGTCTTTGTCATGGCTGAAAAGGAAAATCACTACCTTGCATATCTTGAAGACATGTATGAGGACCGGAAGGGCCAGAAAAAAGTCAAAGTGAGATGGTTCCACTTTAATAGGGAAGTCAGAGGGGTTATCTCTTTAAGAAATCCTCACCCTAGAGAGGTTTTCATTACTCCTTATGCTCAGGTCATTAGTGCAGAGTGTGTAGATGGTCCGGCAATTGTCTTAACTCGGGAACATTATGAGAAGTGTGTAGCTGTTTTCCCCAATGACTTGCTAACAAGAGTACATTTCTGCTTCAGACAATTTAAGGGCAACAGAGTAAAACCTTTTGAATTAGGTAAAATGCGTGGCTACCTTGATCAATCAATTTTCTCATGTTTCAGTCCAGATTTCTTTGAAGACGAGGAGTTTAGTGCTAAGGATGATACGAAAATTGGAGCTAAAAGGCCAAGAAAGAAATATAAGGAGCATCAGATGACAGCATATGAAGAGTCCTACAAGAAGTTAAGGAATGGTTTCTTAAGTAGGAGATTTAACTCTAATAAGCATGTTGGAGGCGAGCTTTGGTATACTCCTAATTTTGTGGTTAATGAGAAGATTGAATGTCTGAGCCAAGATAGTGGAATCCGAGGGTGCTGGTTCAGATGCACAGTTTTGGAAGTATCTCGGAGACAGATGAAGATAAGGTATGATGATATTAAGGATGAAGATGGATGCGGAAACCTTGAGGTATGACCCAGCATCTTTTCACAGCACTTTCATTACATGTTAAAAACTTTAACTAGGAGTAAAAATATTAATTATATCATTCTTGACCAAGATGAAACTACACATTTTTTATTTTATTACATTTTAAGAAACCAACATCAATTTTACACTTCCATCGACTTGATAGGAATGGATCCCCACATTTAGACTAGCGAGGCCTGATAAACTTGGGATGAGAAACTCAAGCCGTCCAACAATCAGGCCTTTCCATTCTTGTGACCTGAGAGATGTTGCCTTTGACATGGGAGCACCTGTTGATGCTTGGTGGAGTGATGGTTGGTGGGAAGGAATAATTGTTGACACAGTCAAATCAGAAAATGAAACCTATCGAGTTTATGTTCCTGGTGAGTTTTGCTTTTTGTTTTTCAATATTGTTGCTAAAGCTGTTTCACTGTGGGTATAGACCTTTTTTATTGATCCAGCTTTTCTCCTCTTTGATATCAGGTGAGAGGATGTTTTTGAATATTGACAGAAAGAATCTAAGAATCTCAAGGGATTGGGTGGGAGATCAATGGGTAGATATTGAGACAAATAATGATATTCTTTCAATGGTCTCTTTCATCCAAGAAACCAAGGTTTCTGTATTATCAAGTATTACTTCGGAGTGCCAGCACGCTAGTCCCATGGATCATAAAGTTCATGCAACTAGTGTGGATGAAGAAGCCGTCCATGGTTTTGCAGAAGCAAGACCTATCGATGACCATTCAAAAGATTCGGTGTGTGTCAATGATGAGAAGCAAGGAGATGATATTGCAGAAAAGAGACTAACCGATAACGCCTCTAGAGATATGGACTTGATCAAGGATGAAAAACATTCAACTGAAAATAACGAAAAGGAGAATGATAGTAATAACAACAGCAGCAGCAGCAATGACAAGCATGACACAGACTGCCACCTTAGCGATGATAATGATTCTTACAACATGGACATTGACAATGAAATTAATGAGGACATCAACGGGGAAAAATCATCAGAACCTGAGATTGATGGAAGAAAATGTGAAACAGAAGTTATGAATATGGTGGCGTGAGGGGATTATCACCGAAACATATACCACTTTGTTTCAAGTGTACCTGGTGCTGTTTAATTGTACATAGAGATGGAGAGCGAATGAGATTTGCTTGTAGTGTTAGGATTGGGTGTCTTAGCTGTACAGGCGGTATGCTTATTTTTTTTCCCCGGTTAGAACCTGGAGATGCTCTAGTAATTAGAATCTCTCTAGTGACTAGGATCTTCAACTATCTCTGTAACATGGATCTTAGTACCACGATTAAGTCGAATTATTCTGCAAGTGTGTTGCACACTATGTAATAGTCTCTTGCTTATTAAGAACCTTGCATGTTAAAAATGCAATGTTTTAAGGTAAAAGCATTGTGACAATTTGTGTGGTCTTTTCAAAATTGAGGGTGATGGATTCTGATCTACACCTATAAAAGTGGGAGGTTCATACCATAAGCCAGTTTAGTTCTGTTTTACATTTGACATGACAGGAGAAAGAAAATTAGTTGTGAAATTCAGAGTCTGAGCCATTGCTGTCCACCAATGAACTTTACATCCAAAAAGGGCTCAGCTTCAGATTCATTGAGAGACTTGGACCATGGTACTCGACCTGCTCTATTGGCTCCATTTCCCCTGCACTGGTATTCTCCAAATACTGCATGCCTACAAACACAGAAAACAGAGAAGTTCAGGCCTGCTCTACTTTTCCTAACTGATTAAAAACTAGGGGATAGGTCGAAAAAGATGTATTTTCTGGTGTTTGGTTGCTAGAAATATTTTCTCAAGAAAACATTTTTCACCAAAAGGGGGAAAATGACTTTTTTCGAATTCTGAACGAAAGACATTTTTCTTCACAACAATCTCAACTTTTAATTTCAAATCACTGCTTTAATCAACACTTATTATTATGAATGTTCCAATAATAAAAGAATTCATATAACACTATCCGGCTAGCCAATATTATCTTCTAATGAATGCTTTTCTCGAAAAATGTTTTTCAAATATATTTTCAGAAAATAAGTTAATTTCCCGGATTTATTTTTTCAAAAAAGAAATGCACCCTTAGTGGATTAAGAATAACATAAGTTGCAGATTGAACTGTTCTTACTGGCGTCTAGAAGGTAAGTTCCAGTCAGTCCAACCTTTGGGATCTATAATACCATCAATATCACATTTGGAGTATATAACCCTTGAATACTCTCCCCAAGCCCTGCCCAAAAACACTCTGCCACTTCCACTTATTTTGCAGTTGACAAAAGAGAAACCACTATCTTGATATACTGAGTTTCTGTGCTGAGCTGCTATTGCTCCATATCCCTTGGCTACTGAATGAAGTGTACAATTCTGTTGTAAAAAGAAAAAAGAAGTCAGTTCTGAAGAAAGAAAGTACACTAGTAAGTTAGAACATTAGAGATTAATACTACACCTTATAAAGTGATCTGGCGTTACCACAAATGAAATCAACAGATCCTTGAATATAACACTGGTAAAAATAATGAGATCCAGCATCATCTAAAAGTGTGTCCTGTGATCCCAATATCCTTACTCTATACAACACTGCTCTATCGCCCGTTAATCTCAACGCTACTGCCTGCATTCCAACACCTTCTGGCTCTGGAACAATGGTGTTCTGAAATCGTATACTAGTACATTATTAAACATTGTCATTTCATTCTCTGATCAATTATATAAGTAGCTAGTACCTCGATGGTGATACCCGTGGCGCAGAAGTAATCTGACTCGACTGTAACAGTTGCAGTTCGAGAAGTGCCTAACTTAGACCCAAATTGGTCCGTGTCAGAGGCTTTTTCATGCCCAGTAATAATGGTTCTGGCCGTTTGGTTTTGATCACCAACTAATGAAATGAATGGCTTCGACGCTGGTATATGCACCTTTTCTCTGCATGTCACAATATTAATTAGACAGCTAACGTTAACTAGACATCACAAGCTTGGTAAAGTGGTGTCAACTTATAATTGCAACTCAAGTTTATCTGGGGTTGTAGAGGTTCTAAAATTGTACTTCTTGTCTAAAATGATGTTTATTTTCTAATAGTTCAGTTAATGTTATTATGTTTCAATATATTACGAAATGGTACGTCTCCGCCATTCACACGTAAAATAAAATTTCAACAGAATGGATACTACCACCATTGCGTTATGGGCTGACAGAAATATAAAGTACTAGCATGTTCTTGAAAATTAAATACGGTTGTTTGTTCTTTTTTTGGGGTTTTGTGAAGTGGGTTGGTGGGGTAACCCAGTACCATTTTGTTAACTGTCAACCTTCTCTACTACCCACGTCCTCAAGCTTAATTTGGCTTCAAACCAGCCAAAATAATACTGCAAAAACTGCATATAGGAATCAATACTAACGCTTTCAAGATTTGTAAAGACAACAAAATTAAGGGTAATATTAACATCCTAGCAAAAGCTCAAAGGAATTGATCACAAGGAAAAGTAGCAAATTTGAAGTGAGCCTGGGACAACATAAAGTTGTCTCCACGTGATCGACCTATAGGTTACGAGTTTGAGCCGTGTAATTAGCCACTAATCTTTGCGTCAGGGTAAACTGCCTACATTACACCCCGTTGGAGTGTAGCCCTTCCCCGAACCTTGCATGAATAGAAGATTGCTTTGTGCTTAAAAGTTGCAAATATGATAAAGTACATCGGAAAAATAACTACCTGTAAGTTCCGGGATGAATGTAAATTATAACTCTTCGAGAATTATGAAAAGGCACCTTGTCAACTGCACCTTGTACAGTAATTGAGTCTCCTTCACCTTTCTGATCAACCACTATCACTCTTTGAGAAGTGCATGCTCGTTCATCCTTCAAACTCAAAGAACTAAAATCCACCTTCATATCATCCCACGTAATGTAAGAATATTGAGCCAGACTTATATCAGCACAAATCAAGAAGAAAATTGCAACCCAAATGCTAAAATCACTTAAATTCATCACGAAAGCCAGAAATTGTTCGTAAGAAAAAGAAATGAAGATGGTAAACAAGAGGTGTGGGCAGACAAGGAAGAAGTGAAGGCAATAAATATAAGAGCGTGGTTGGTTTTATAGTACTGCAACGTAACTTTTTATAGTACAAATTCTTCTAAGAATGCATGTTATAATATGCATGTTACATAAAGTCCAAGAACCATAATAATATTAGAATTAGAAGTTAAGAAAGTTATAAGGAAAGGTGATTAAGTAAGAGTAGTGAGATGTAAAGAGTGATGGGGTAGTTTTTGTTAAGGAGTAGTTATGAAATTCCAAGATTCACCAAGAGGTGTGTTTTGCAGAGTGCATATATATATATAACCGTTATGCTTCTAAAGCTAAAAGCACCTTCTCTTTATATTGTTTTTTAATTCCCAGTGGTTTAACTATACCTGGAAATAAAGAGAGTCTGTAGTGTTACAGATGATTAGGCCGTGATTTTAGAATCACATGTTCTGTTCATAACCGGCGCCTCTTTTCATTTTCTTTGTTCCGAAACTAAAATCTTTTTCGGAAAATTATGTCTATTCACATTCCGTTTCCATATTAATTAGGAGTGTAACTTTCATATACAGGTAACCATCATCTATGATAACCTAAAAAATAAGGCAAGTACAACATATTAAAATATATTGATAATTTATAAATAACTTTACACCATATATAATTAATTAAGGAAAAATGTATAAATTCTCTTACATTGGCCGTGCATATAAGTTAAATCAATCAATTAAGGAAAAAACTAACTTTGGTGGATACTACAGTGCATCTTAATTATATACAGTGACACTGTTAAAATTTTTTACAACAATGATTGTTACTTATCATTTAATTCGAATTAGCAATCAATTATATATATATATAAAACATAGAAGGTGTAGACGTCAATCTTCAACCTTTTTTGAAGTACTAACATTTTAGGACGGCACACAAGGGAAGACAATTTGTCCTTGTATTTGTCTGGATTGTTCATAACTTCGCCAGAGCTCGCTCGTTCAGATAATCGGGGATAGAGGAGAAGGGTCGATACATTGACAGTTAGCATAAAACTAATCAATTCATGACGATACTGATTAATGAGAATTCATATAGCTGACCAATCTATTTGAAATAAAGGCGTAGTTATTATATTTGTCTCGAGCGTTCGTATAATTATACAGAAAATTTGGTTTTATTCAAGGTTTATCCCCAACCTAACGCTTTTTCCCCTAAGATCATACCCGTGGCTAGCCAACTGATAGCTCCTCTGCTTCAATTAATGGTACCCTGGAACTATTTATCAGAAAGATTTTTAGATGAGATGATGGTGTTAGGATTTGGTGTCTTAGCAGTTAGGTGAACAACTCTAGTGCTCAGTTCTTTGCTTTTGAGAGGGACTGATGAGAAGCTCATGCAACTTGTACGTTCTTATAAAATGGATATTTCTATAACGGTACAATGAATTATTTATTTTAGCTAAGCGGCATTTATTATTATTATTATTATTATTATTATTTTTTCTAACCGGTATACATAAATTGATATTATATATTAATTATACATGACTGTATACTTATTATACCTATATTACACATCTTAGTTTAAAAGGTTCGATGTACGGTGATTTAGGTGCCATAAGATTGATTTTCATCTTCTCCATGGACCTTTTAATTGGGTGAATAACACAATTATCCAAAAAAATAAAACTATTTACCTTTACCTATCCATTTATTTTTCTATCCATCAATCTAGTTATATTTCCTACCCATAGTAGTTTTTGTGGGGAATTTTCTCTTTTTTCTCCAATTTTTTTTTTATTTCTATGCTTCTTTTCTTTTATCCTTTTTTTCTTTCATTTCTCCTTTTCTTTTTTCTCGTTTTCTTCTTATTTTTTTCTTTTCTCTTTTATTCATTTATTTTTTTTCAAATCGTATTATTGTTATTTCTACCATAACTTATTTCACACTCAAATTTAACTCATTTATTTATTTTTTCTTTTTTTTCTTTTCTTTATTTCTTGTTCCTTTTCTAATTCCACGTGATTGCCATGCAAACCTTGATCTCCTTCCCTACAAATATCAGTACACACTCTACCATTAGCAGTAACACAACCAGTTATGGAGCAAATCATAATCTACGGCCACCAAATCTCCATATATACTAGTTAGAATAGAAATGATAATAAAATATTGGAAAATGCAATAAAAGTATAAGTAGCAAAAAAGACTTCTAGTACCATATGATACCAATATGGTATACATATATACCAACAGAGTATATGCTCTAGAATATTGCTATAACTATCTGCGACTATACTATTGTACCAAAACATTAAAGGATGCAATAAAAGTATGAGAAAATTACATGCTCTCATTGCAAGTTAAATATTCGCAAAAATAACTTGCTCATTCCGTATACTAATAAGGTATATAGCTGTATGAGGTCGTTCCAATAATTGTCTATAACTATAAAAACTATTACATAATACACATAATCTATATCCATCGGCACAAAAAAATTCCAGCACTACAAATCATGTTCATATAAATAATTCCAGAATAGAATTAACTTAAAAATGCAGCTAAAACAACAAAAAAATGTTCAAACTACCATATGATACCAATATGGCATATAACTATACCAACATGGTATACATTTTTACTGATTAATTTCCGGCAACTATATGACTATACTACTATTACATAACACACATGCATAAAGAGAAAAATAAAAAAAATAGTGTACCACATATTAATATAATAAAGTATTTCAAGATATTGTACTATATTACTATTATTAAAAGAAAATCAAATAGTGTACCAATTAAATGCAGCTAATACAACCAAAAAAGAATTTAACTAACATATAATACCAATATAGTATATAGCTATACTAATAGGGTATATAGTTGTACGAGGTCATTCCAACAACTGTATATAACTATAAAAACTATTACATAATACACAAAATCTATGTCCATAGGTACAAAAAAATCCAACACAGCAAAATATGATCATATAAATCATTTCAGAATAGAATTCACTTAAAAATGTAACTAAAATAACCAAAAAATATTCCAACTACCATATGATACCAATACGACATATAATTATACCAATAAGGAATACAATTCTACTAATTAATTTCAGTCAACTATATATGACTATACTACTATTACATAATACACATCCATAAAGAGAAAAATCAAAAAATAGCATACTTTAGTATAATGATATATTTCAAGATATTGTATATAATTCTATTATATAAAACAAATGCATAAAGAAAAAATCAAAATAATTACATAATACATATGAATAAAGGAAAATTTAAAAAATTCAAGATATTGTACTATTCTACTATTAATAAAGAAAAATCAAACAGTGTACCGATTAAATATAGCTAATACAACCAAAAAATGTTCCAACTAACATATGATACCAGTATAGTATATAGATATACCAACATGGTATACAGTTGTATGCAAAGAGTTTATTTTTTTTTTTAAATTCAATTATTAAAATAAAATAATATCAGTTGTCACATAATCTAATTAACTCAATTTTGTGCGTCATCGATTATACTAAAATTTAGATATGTTATAATAATATACTATATACCATTTTGAAATGGAGAATAAATTAATAAAAAATATTCAATGGACACATAGATCCTATTATGAAACGAGAAAGATAGAAGAAAAAACGTTTTATTTATATTTGAGAAGACAATAAAAGAGAAAATAGGTTGGAGCAATTAATGGGGTTTCACGTGATCCGGGATTAGAAAGGAAAGGATTTTAAAAATAGGTAGTTGGGTAAATACTTTAGATTGCATAGGTACACATTGTAAGACAAATTAGAATGAGCAGTAACGGGTAATTAAAATTGCCTTGAATAGGCATTTAGAGTAGATTTTTCCTTTTAATTTGTGGTAATTACATGACTATAAACCTTGTTGCGGTCACTTGAGATTGCAACGTCTAGCTTAAAGTGAATGATATTTTACGCAAGGGTTTAACATAAACTATACACTAATAGCATGAAAAATTGTACACTAACAGATTACTTAAAGGTAACTAAAGGTTTTGTCACCTGAAAAATAAGGCAGGTCACCGAAATTCTTTTATATTGCCCGTGTATACAAGTTAATTAAATTCTTTTGCATAAACGCAGCACACAATGTTCTAGTTAACAGACACTTAATCATGAGTAAAACTTCACTCTTTTCACTACTGTGCGTGCATATAAGTTAATCATTCGTATAAATGTAGCACACGTTCTCGTTAATAGACATTTAGGACCCATTTGGCCATAAATTTTGCCAAAATAAACTTGGGTTTTATTTGGCAAACACATGTTTGACCATAGATTTTGCCAACATTTTGGCCAAATCCCAAATCCCAAAATCATCTCAATAGCTGGTTTTGGGCCAAAATATCACTATTACTCCTTTCGTTTTAATTTATGTGAACTCATTTGACTGGGCATGGAATTTAAGAAAAAGAGAAGACTTTTGAACTTGTGGCGTAAAATGAGGCACATATATTTTGTATGGCCATAAATCATTGCATAAAGGTAAATTGTTTCCAAATAGGAAAAATGGTCATTCTTTTTGGCACGGACTAAAAAGGAAATAAATTCACATAAATTGAAACAGAGAGAGTATATTTTTTAAAAATTGCCCAAACTTTTATATTTTATAAAAGAGCCCACCATTTATTATATTGTAACGATGTTGCTTCGTCTTCTCGGTTATCTGATAGTGTATCATGTAGTTCATTAGAAAAATGATAATTCTGTATCAAATTTATTTATGTTCAGGACTATGGTTTGCGATAATATAATGAATGTTATTGATAATGGTACTGTTGGGTATTTGCGATAGTTTTTAGAACTTGTGGGTATAAGTCATATTTCATATTTTTCCAAACCAAACTTCACCAAAAACAGATGTCCAAACACATTTTCATCTTCAAACCAAATTTTATCAAAATCAGATTTTTCAGAATAAATTTAGGAATCTACGGCCAAACGCTAGCTTAAACTTGTAAAACCTCACTTTTGAAAAGATCAGTGGCTATGTCACAAAATTTTTGTTCAAAATTGTTGCACTTGTCAAAGTCATTACGAAACTAGAGTCTGAGCCATTGCTCTCCGCCAATGAATTTTGTATTGAGGAAGGGCTGAGCTTGGGTTTTATTTAAAGATTTAGACCATTCCACTCGACCTTTTCTATTGGCTCCTCTGCCCTTGCACTTGTACTCTCCAAACACTGCATGCCTACAAACCACAAAATAAGACTCAGATTTGATTTAAGTTTTCTTTTACAGGAACAATCTAAATTAAAAAGGGTTCAAATATCCGTAGGCGGTAGTTATCTTTTAGATGACTTTACAATATAAATCTTTTTTACACCGGAAGTTAAACTCAATTAGAAGTTGAATTATCTTACTTGTGTCTAGATAATTGGTTCCAATCAAACCATCCCTCTGGAGTTATAAGAGCATCAAAATAGCAATTTGAGTATATAATCCGTGAATATTCTCCCCAAGCTCTGCCTAAAAGGATACTGCCACTTCCACTTATTTTACAGTCAACAAATGAGAATCCACTATCTTCATCAGCTGAGTTTCTTTGGTGTGCTGCAATTGCTCCTGATATTCCTATGTTGTCTTCGGCTACAGAATAAAGATCACAACCCTGTTACAAGAAATAACAAAAGTCAGCAATCAAATCTTAAAAAAAGTTAAACGAGTGAGGTTTGCTCTGGTGATAGAAAATTTCCATCATCAAGAATTTCAAATCATGAACCTGATATAGTGATCTAGCATTGCCACAAATGAAATCAACAGATCCTTGAATGTAACATTTGTAAAAATAGTGCGAACCAGACTCATCTAAAAGTGTGTCCTGTGATCCCAATATCCTAACTTTGTACAACATTGCTCTCTCTCCTGCTAATCTTAATGCCACTGCTTGCATGTCATTGTATTGAGGCAACGCAACCACAGTGTTCTGAAAAACAAAACCCGCGACTGTCCTAATCAGAGGCAAAACTAAAGCGTATTCCGTAGGTTCAACCCAACACACTGCTTTCTGCTCAAACCATAATAAATTATTGATTGACCAAACCATAATAAATTATTATGCCTAGTTTAGTATATTTTTCTTTTATACTTTAATTTATCGTCCAACAAGCTTTGCATTGTTAGCTTCTGCATGCATCATATTATTTCGATCCCAACAGTTTTGAACCCGGTGACTCTAAATCTTGAACACCAAGAGTCTTTTTAAATATGTTGATTGATTAATTAGTAGTACCTCAATGGTGATACCAGTTGCAGAAAAGTAATCTGATTCTACAGCGACTGTGGCTGTATTGTAAGTGCCCAACACATTCCCATATTTGTCCTTGTCTGAGGCCTTGCTATTCCCAGTAATAATGATTTTTCTAGCTTGGTTCTCATCACCAATGAATGAGATAAATGGCTTTGAAGCTGGAATAAACACCTTTTCTCTGCATATATCAAAATATTCACTAAACTAGACAGCTAAATCTCACATAGTGGGACCAAGATATTGCACTGAAAGAATGAAAGTAGGATTCTAAGTATGAACTCACCCGTATATCACGGGCTGAGAAAAAAATCAACATGGAAAGAAAAGGCATACGAAAATTGTACTGTTGATTTTTCTAACTATAATATATTGTAACTTATAAGAACTGTTTGACTTTAATATGAACTTTTGAGTCCTATAACTATCACATCTTAGCTTTTAGGGTCCGAAAAATCCTTTTCACTAACTTCTCAGACAACTAATGCTAACAATAGTGAAGAAAATAACAAATACTCCGTTCAATTTATGTTAACCCATTTGACTGGGCACGGAGTTTAAGAAAAGAGAGAAGATTTTTGAACTTGTGGTGTAAAATGAGACAGATATATTTTGTGTGGCTATAAATCATTGTATAAAGGTAAATTGTTTCCAAATAGGGAAAGTGATCATTCTTTTTGGCACGGACTAAAAAGGAAATAGGTTCACATAATTTGAAACGGAGGGAGTACAATATTTTGGTATGGGAACATACTTGTATAAACAATTTATTAAAATCTAATGAAAATATCATAAGGTGAAAAAATTTGTTGCTAACTATTAAATGAAATTGCTATCTAAATCTTACTTTTTTCAATTACAGAAGCTGTTAGCGATAGCGATTATAGGAAATGAATATATATCCCACAAACATCGCAGTTGAGTTACATATTTATTGCTTATTTGCATAATTTAGGAGTATGTTGTTAAGCATGTGCATAACTTTATTTTTTCTACATATGATGAAGAAAGGAAGATTTGAAATAAGAATCACAACAATGGAATAGAATGTGAGAAAATGAGATACCACTAATTAAATTATTTAATAAATTTTAAAGTAGACTATTTATTTCCCATAACATGTTAAATTACAATGGCGGTCCAAATATTTTTTTAAATAAATAATATTAATGTATATTAAGTTAAATTTTTATTAGTAAAGTAGTACGTAGGAAATACCTGTACGTTCCGGGACGAATGAAAATTTTAACCCTTTGAGAATTATGGATAGGGACTATGTCAACTGCACCTTGAACTGTAACAGAGTCTCCATTACCATTTTGATCAACTACGATCACTCCCTGAGACTTGCGCGATCTTTCATTTGTCAAATCTAATGAACTAGAATCCACTTTAATATCATCCCACGTAATATAACGTTGAGTACTAGCCAAAATTACTCTTCTATCTGCCAAAAACAGCAAGAAAATCAAACTCCAAATGTTGATTACGTTTCTAAAGTTCATGCTGAAATTAAGCCAGGATTTGTATTGTTCGTGGGTATTATGAAAAATATGAAAAACAGAAGACGACGTAAAGAGGCGTGGGCAGGTAAGGAAAAGGTGATTGTAATAAATACCAAGAGCGTGGTATGTTTTTTGTTTTTATAGTGTTACAGTTTATTGAGAGTGAAAGTAGTAATTTGCATGTTCATGGAGTGACTGAAGCTTGATTTAATTAAGTGCAGGGATTTTTTATTAAACTTGTAGAGAAAGAAGAGAAAATGAGAGATGTGAAGAATTTTACTGGTAGAAGAAGAACGCGATGAAATTAAGTAAAAGGAGGACACTTAAAGTGTTAATTAGTAAAAGGGAAGGGCAATTAAATAAGACTGATGGAGTTTTTATTTTGTTAATACACTGTGTTTCCATCTTAATTAAGCAAAATAAAAATAAAAATAACGAATTAACCTCTTGCAGAAATAAGGCATTATTACAAACTCACTAGTAACTAGTTCTCACAGACTCAAACTCATTCAAGCATTAGATTCCTACTACTCCGAATTTATAGTAACAAGGACACTTCCCTTTTGTAACCGATAATGTATTGCCAAATATTACCGAACTGCAGCTATAAATCCCCAATAAATTAACGATTGATGAATGTACTCAAACTTTGTGGAGGAAATTTCAAAATATTTAACCAATTAAATAACAGAAATTATGATCAGACTGCCATGCAATATAAAACAAATTTAATATAACATTCACTATACGTATTTTTAGTGTTAAAATAATACTAACATTTAACAGCTTAACCAAAAAAATAATTTTCATTTCATTGTATCCTGCATTAAAACTTTACAAAACTGTTACAGTATTACATTGGAAAGAATTAAGGTAGTCTTTGACAGAGTTTTGAGAAGTCTTAGAATTTATAATGTTTTTGGTGGAATGTCTAACGACAAAGACCAGAAAAATGGCACAAACAACTTTGTGTAACCTTTAGAAGACTTTTTCAAAAGGACAAGGTACATTTTTTCCTTCTTAAAGACGACACTAAAAAGACTTTTACAAAACATTTAGCAAAATATTGTCTATAATCATAGAGATATATAGGAGTACTTCTGGAACAAGAAATACGTGCGACCTACTTTTTAGGATAAAATCTTAGTTTGTGTTCTTTAGTGGTTAGAAACCTACTTGAGAACTCCAAATATTAACCTACACTTTGTCTGGTTTAGCTACTTTCAAATGTATACGAATTTTTTACAATATTAATGTATATAAGTTAAATCAAGAGAGAATTGTGCGACATAACAAATATATATACTATATTTATCATTCATAGTTATACTTTCAAAAAATTATTTGATTTTTTAAGCAAATCCATGAAATAAGAGACCAATTGTTTTGAAATGAAACAAGAGAGCAATAAGCTTTAAAGCGCTCGCTTAGTAAGCAGATGTCTGGTGTTCGATTTTCAATGAGAGCATTTTATTTTTTTTATTTCGCGTTAGTTGTATCCCTTGTACGAATGAATATAGTTGATATGAATACAGTCGATACAGGTTGTATCATTTGTATACATCCTTGTATTTTGCGTTGGTTATATCTGTTGCGCAAACCAATATAGTTGATACAAGTTGTATTCGTTGCATGAACGAATATAATTACGCCAACCAATACAATTGATAGAGGTTGTATTCGTTACACGAATGAATACAGTTAACACAGACTGTATTTGTCGTGCATCTGAATACAAGCGATACAAGCTGGTAACAATTGAACAGTAGCTACGAATAGTAATTAAGTAAATTATAATTACATATGATAATTGTTTACCCTTAAAAACGGATAACAATTGAATTTATACGCGATTTTAAGGATATGTGGCTTAGATTAAACAAATAAAAGACGTAATAAATAGCCAAACTAATGATAAGAGTGATTCTGAGCTCGGTTAATATCTTAACGAGGAACCTGCCTTCGGTTCCAAACTTACACTTATGAAGAACTTATGAATAAAAATAAGAACTTTGAATAACTTTTAGAAACAGAGAGAATAGAAGTAAATTACCTTGATATGCATGTTACAATGTATCTAATGAATAATAAACTTCCCCTTTATATAGTAGGAGAGTTTTACCCTAGGTACAATTCTAAGAAAGGTAAAATTCTTCTTTTTCGCTAATTACTGATTTTCTGCCGATACCGGCCGAGATTCACGCCGTGATATCCGGTTGGGCACGAAGATCACGACCCTTTGTTAGCCGTGTGTGGTTGTTTGGTAATGCTCTCTGAAGTCTTGGGACTCGAACCGGACCCGAAGGACGTGGTCCCAATGGCTCCGAGGGCAGGTGCATGGCTCAGGCCCTGATACGATAGGCTCCTTGATCTGATTCTAATTCCTTACCTCACGTCCCTGCTCCGTTTGCCTCTCCGGGAAATTGGGGTGTTCACTAGGCTCGGTTTTACCCGTATACAGATAGTCCCCTCGTTTCTCAGAGAGTAGGCTTGCCGAAACGATGGGAAATGACAGATGTTCTCCGGTTCCTTCCTTCATACGTTACGATGAGGGAGATGAAACGTTCCATCAGTCGCGTCGTTCTAATTTTGGACACGTGTCGCTCATCGGCCGGTTGCCCTCGAATGCGAAGCATCGCCTGTTTCGCTATAAAAACCTCCATCATTTGTTCTTTTTCTACCTTTTGACCAAGCTATTACCTTCGAGCTTTCCGGCTATCATTAAACTTCATCCAAACCTTCATATATTCATCCTTGTTCTTCAATTTTCATAGTGATTTCCAGGTTTTTACACAGATTTTCTTTAGATCTTCATAGTTCTTCATCTCCAAAACCCGTTTTTCCAAAGCTTTGCATTTTTTCTTCAAATTTTCAAACCTCTCCTAGATAATAATGGCCAAAATATTGAAATCTTTTCCTCAACAAGTTATCTCTTCATCTTCTCAACCGGCTGTCGGTACTGAGGCAGTTGCCCCTGAAGTAGTTGCCCTCGAAACGACTTCTCCCGAGGTGGCTGCTAACAAACCGGCCGCCGAGCCTCCCTTGAAAGTGTTCATTCTTGGGGGCTGCTCAATTGCAGATGACTTTAAAGTCGAGAAACCCTCATGCAAACAGGATCGGGGTGAAGGAGTATTAAGGTACATATGCTCCATGATTGAAGACGTTCTTCCCATAGTTCGAAAGGACAGTAATTTGGAGGGAAATGACGTAGTAGTCCCCGGGCCCGAGGACGCCGTTACTACCCATGTCTGGGTACTTAAGTGTTTATACTTACCCCTTCACACTGGGCCCGGTAGACCCGGTCGTTCTGGACTTTTGTAAGAGGTACGAGGTGTGTCTCGGGCAAATCCATCCATCTCTATGGAGGATCGTGATCCTCCTCCGCTACTTCATGAACAAGATCGAGTCTCTTTGGTTCACGATCGACCACCTACTTCGATTATATAGTCCCCGAATGTTCCAAGGGGGACTCATCAAGCTTACTCGTCGGGCCAGCAAGGCCCCCTTTTCGAGTATCGATGAAGACCGAGACCAAGGCTGGCAGGGACGCTTCGTTCGAGTGAAGACTGATGATTTGATCCCCCCCGAATACATGCCATTCCCTGAGAAGTGGAATGCGTCTCGTAAGTGCAATCTCTCTTTAAACATCAAAATTCTTTTTTCTTGAGTTTCACCTTTCTCATTCATACTTGTGGTCATGTAGCTGTCGCCTGAGTTTTGAATGCAATTTTTCGGCTAAAGGAATGGATCGAGGGAATCTGTACTCAGATGCCGTACTCCGAGCACATATGGCGCAGGCTCTCGAATGGCCGATGGGAGGCCCGTTCTCATGGTAAGGCCTCTTTCTGAATAGTTAATACCATGTTTCTATATTCCATCATACTGACTCCTTTTCCACTTTGTTATTGCAGGTTTGCCTAAGACCACCGAACTTAGGCCTTTGGAAGGGGACGAGGACGTGTCCGCTGATCAATCAGTTACGGGGCAACCCGGGGCTGCCACAGAGGAAAAGAAGAAAAGGAAGAGAAAACCTTCGGGCTCTGAGGTGAAAAAACCAAAGAAGAGGGTGGCCCACAAGCCCGGGAGGAGCTCTAGATCCCGGGTGCTGTGTTCCGACTCTCTCCTCTGGCTTAGGGACGAGCCGGAGGATGAAGTTATTTTTGTTACCCACATGACAACCTTTCCCGGGGAGCAGGAGGCGTCCGAGGGGCAAACTCGTGAGGTTGACCCCCCTCGGACTCAAGAGATCGATATGGAGGCCCGGGGTGGGACTCCTCAGGACACCGGCTCTGCTCTAAAGGAAGCGCCCGGTGTAATAGAGATTTCTGGGACACCTTCCTATACTGAGTCCAATGGGTCCATGGTGCAGACGATCCCCTTCACTCCATTTTTGATGGTGTGGACTCATCTTCTTTGGAAGACTTCTCCGGTCTGGGCGGTGTGGAAGTTCGTAAGAAGACATATCCTTGGAAACTGGCAGGCCAAGCTCGAGCCCAAAATTTATCAACCAGTTCCCTGCTCCGAGTGTGCTCCCCGATCGCAAGAGATCGATTATTCTGACCGTCCCGGAGGATGCCCGAATTTTGTTTTCTCTTTTGTAGATAGCTAGCTACCTCCGATGCCTAGTGACTGAGGAGGACCGGAGAAATAATGAATGAGGTGAACGTGTCATGCTTTTTCAATGAGGCATAACAGGCGCTGAACCGGGTAAGGCATTATTACTTTCCACCGATCTTTACTCAGGGTTAGATGTTTCTCACGATTTTTATCTTTTTGCAGGCCTCGGTACTTCATCACGAGAGTTTCTTTCGGTACCGGGTTGAGGTCGATCAGCTTGAGCTCGAGATTAAGGAGCTTGCCCAGAAAAGGGACATTACAAGCTTCTCAACAAGCAACAAGAAGGGGCCGTTAAGAACCTCTAGGCCGAGCTGGATGCGGCTCAGAAAGAAGCATTGGTCTTAAGGCAGGAGCACGCCGACTTGGTGGAAAAGATAAAGGTT